CATTAATATCAACTTCAATAGCATCACATAATTGTAGATAACCACCTGTCCCTTTACAACGTCTCCTCGAATATTTAACAGCATCTCTAATTATATAACCAGCCATTGATACGCTTACTACATCATCATTATATGGTATTTCACATCTGACCATGATAATAATAATAATGAGGAGGAGGAGGAGGAGGAGGTCATGCTAATGATGCTAGTCGGTGTTATTATTATTATTACTTCAAATCATGATAACTGAAATCCATCCCTGCCTGTTTATGGTGATGATGATGATCTCCACCTTCTTGTGTATCATCATCATCATCTACTATTGTCGTTGTTGGATATACATAAGCACGTCGTATAGCTCCAGATGGGTAGATACAACAATCACATATCAATGGCGATGATGATGGTAGTATTTCTGCTGAGTAAGCAGTAGCATGATGATGATGATGATGCATGATGATATTATAGATAGATTTACCATCACGAATACTTGATGCTAGGAAAGTACCAATACTTGTTTGATGTAGTCTAATATTCTTAGATGATATAATAATACTGTCTATTCCATTAACACCACCACCACCACCATCTCCTCGTTTTCTTGGTGATGATGTGATGCTGCTGATGCTGCTACCACCTGCCTTGATAGTAGATCGGAATAAATGATGTAGGTGTGTATAGTGACATAATCTCGAGTATCTAGTAGTATACTACTACTTGACCATGCTGATGATAGTATTGGTCTCATATTATTACTTTAATGATACTAGTGGTAACGATAGTAACGATGATCCATCTATCATCATCATTATCCTTTCATTATTAATATTATCAAATTGTTCTTTATATCCATCGACAAGAAGCTGTATATGAGGATCGGGTTGGAAATCTTGTATTGATACCTAATAATATAAAACAATTAATCATTAGGACTACCATGATCATTATCATCATACTAGATTAGCAAATACATCCACCGACTGCATCATCATCATCATGCCGCCCTTATCATCCTTTTGACGATGATGATTATCCCCTTCCATTTCAGTGATAAGATGATTATTATTATCCTTATTAACATGATGAGATGGTTTAGTAGCAACTACCACAACATGACCATCATCATCATTACTCAATATATAGTGACTACATTATTCTTACTATCATCATCTTTATCGACGTCGACCCTCTTCTTCTTCCAAGATAAATCAAATACCAATATATTCTCTATATCACATCCAGCCTTACCAATAGTTATCTAACAACAACATGTAGTAGTAGCAGTAGTAGTTGTAAAGGAACTGTTGTACTACTATTATTATTACACCATGAATATCCTCAACATAAGCATCATGATCATGTCCTCCTATTATTAATGGTACTGCTGCTACTACTTTATTACTCTCCTTCTTGTTCTTGTATTGATTATTATTATGTTGACTTATAGCTCTAGCTAATGCTCTGTCCCTCTGTATAGATTGATGTGTTACAGGTATTATAATCATGCCAGAAGAACAAGAAGAAGGAACAGTAGTATGGGTAGTAGTAGTAGCAGTTGTTGTTGTAGTAGTAGTAGTAGTGGATGAGATGGTATCTAATACTAATAATGAATACTATAGGCTATTCCTTAATGTACATACGCTTAATATGGTGACTATCATTACTATTAACGCTATCTTGCTGCAGTAGTAGCATCCTATTCGTGCTTGTAGAGGTGGTGGTATTATTAATGATGATGTCCATAAGTGTGTCTATTACTGGTGTGATATGAGCTCCTCCAAAGGCTCCTTCTTTATATAATGATTCATCCTCTGTCAATAAGCCTAGTAAACACAAACTTGTATTATCTAAATATGATTAATAACAAGGAAGGATTGAACTAGGGGGGATTGACCAGACTAGTAGTAGTATTACTGATGTTTAATGTAACATGATGTTGTAGTGGTAGTAGAGTATCGTGTGGTAGGGCCAAGTCAGGCATATTGGTATTAATCCAAGTGAAGTTAGATTCCTGATAATCATACTATTAGGAGGAGCTTATGCAGTAGTAGTAGTAGTAGTAGTAGTAGTAGTAGTAGTAGTAGTAGTAGTAGTAGTAGGAGGTTATGCAGTAGTAGTAGTAGTAGTAGTAGTAGTAGTAGTAGTAGTAGTAGTAGTAGTAGTAGTAGTAGTAGTAGTAGTAGTAGTAGTAGTAGTAGGAGGTTATGCAGTAGTAGTAGTAGGAGGTTATGTAGTAGTAGTTATGGATTATTATTACCTCAATTCTATTAGATAACTCCTCTACAGTTAAATCCCCTTCATGATTACCAAAGCAAACGTAATCGACACCACACTAAGGATGATAATATTCTTCTTCTTCTTCTTCTTGTTGTTGTTCTTGTTGTTGTTGTTGTTAATGTTGTTATTACCTTATTCATGATATCCACCATAGATCTACCTTTATCAATATTAGATAATGCTGATGGTGATAGGAAATCCCCAGCTAGTATGAATATAGTATTATTTGGATCTTTTGCATTATTACCTGCTATGATAATAATAATACTCATACTCTTGTTATTATTACGATAGAAATCGATTGCTGTTTTAGCTTTAGGCCAATTATCTAGTTCATATACATCGTTAGTTGATATAATACGATAATGTATCATCATATCATCATCATCATCACTATGATGATCTCTTGTAGTACTGGGATAGTTATTAATGCTATTATCATCAGTGTGAGATGATGATGATATTCTCATGCTCGGACCACTCATGTTAGTTATAATAAACGGAAATAATGAACTTTCATTATTATTATTATTACCAACAATAAACATCATCATGGGAATAAGAAACAAGTAATAGTAGAAGTAATTGTTGTTGTTGTTGTTATCGATTAGCAGCCTTTGCCCTATATCTCTTCTTCAGATGTTTAGGACATTTGGTCTCAAGTTTAGCCCGTCGCCTCTCTTTAACTATCTTCTTCCATTCACTCTTAGTGATACCTTCTGGTATG